AACGTGGTATGTTACTTGGAAATTCCAGGAAAAGCTTTTTTTTTTCCCCTTTGATTTTCAGTTTCATTCCAAGGAGCATACAACAATCATGTTATTCAGCTGCATAGCAAGTCACTGGTCTTCAAAAAACATGTAGCCGCAGTTCAAAACTCAGATTTTCTGATTGCATTTTATGGGGTCAGTATCCTAAAACTTAAATGTTTTAAGTAAATACTTAGACTTCTTGGTGTTTAAAAAAATTAAACATCTTCACATTGGAAAATTTGGAGGTATGTAATGATGATTTTTTTTTTAAAGATTTATTTACTTACTTAGACGTAAAAAACTGGGGTACAGGCCAGAGGTGCAGGGGCGGTGAGAGGATTCACCAGAGACAGAGTGGGGAGCAGAACAGGCAGATCGATGAGGTATACTGCTGAGGGGAGCAGTAGGAAGGTCAGGAGAGGTCTGCCACGCCATGTGGATCACTTCTGGGCGAGGATCGAACTCATGCTGAAGTGGCATTAGCTTCTTAGAGCTGTGCTTTAACCTGCTGCACCACCAGGGAGATCCCATGATGAATTTTCTTACCTTAGGATAGATATGGACAAATCAGGAAAATAGATAACAGTTTGACATCAAGAGAGTTTTCAATCCTCTAAGCATTAGAAGTACACAGGTGTCACTAGTAGAGGTTCAGTTTCGTTCTGAAGGCAGCTACATCAACCTATTAGTAGAGGTTTCATAAAGCAACTTGGTGAGATGCTGATAACTCACAGAATATTGGGGGTCTCATTCATCTTAGAGGAATAAGGAAAGAATTCCCAAAGAAGGTGAGACCTGTAGAAAGTCTCAAAGTGTAAGTAGCCATTTCTCAAGTTGTCTTCTCTGCTAGGTTATAATGGATTATCCTTCCAGTATATTGTTTTGCTTAATCGGAGAGTAACGAATTTACCACGAACTTCCCCTGTGTCAACTCCCAAAAATCCATGGACTGGCAAATATCTCATATCTGAGCTGACAAGGACAACTAGCCAACCTAATTTACTTTCTCCCAACCATACTTATGTTCCTGACTCCCCCTTTGATCGTGAAAGTTCTCCAGCTCAAAAGGGCCATCACCTACTCACTGCCTTGAATTCCGCATGGGCCTGCACAGATCCCTATACCCAGTAAAGTCTCATGCATTGATCACTTGGATGATAGATACACAACATTGGCATTTCTTATTTTATCATTGGCACCGACCCACAGATATCTGAAACAGATATATTCAAGGTTTATATGACAGTGCTGAACATGTCTTCCAGAGGATATTTTTAATCTACCCAACATTAAAACAAACACTTCCCCTCATCTGTTGTGTCCTTATGGCATACTTAATACAATTTTCTAAATAAGTGTTTGTTTTTCATATAACTGGGGTCAACTATTTTATTTACTCATCTTTTTTTTTTTTTTTTAAAGATTTATTTATTTGTACATACAGAACTGGGGTACAGGCCAGAGACTCAGGGGCAGTGAGAGACTTCACCAGAGACAGAGTGGGGAGCAGAACAGGCAGATCAACGAAGTACACTGCTGAGGGGAGCAGTGGGCGGGTCAGGAGAGGTCTGCCACGCCATGTGGTCTCCTCCGGGGCAGGCGGGAATCAAACTCATGCGGAAGTGGCTTTAGCTTCTCAGTGCAGTGCTTTAACCCGCTGCGCCACCAGGGAGGGCCTTATTTACTCATCTTTTAATTGTATCTTTTTATTGCAGTAATGTTGGTTTACAACACTGTATATGATTTAGGGATACAGGTTCACACCTTTCCAGATGTCATTTCATCACACCACACTTGCCACAGTTCTCATGATGCCCTCTAGATGTGGCCAAAGACTAATAAGGTGTCTTTGCCTTGCTGGACTACAAGCAGGGGTTATATTTGTTCACCCATGTCCAGTGCAAGTCATAAGACCATTATTACTGCACAATATCCAGTTCCTCAAGTGCCTGTGACTTGACTAGACTGCTTGCATAACCATATCACTCCCAGAGTACGGGGTGGACAGGTGATGCTTACCGCAGACATATTTTGCAGTTGGTTATAGATTTCACATCCTCAGTGCTAGAATGATCAAGATTTTGCTTAGATTAAATTAGATGCACTCACAGCTCTTCAGGACTCTAATTTCCCCACTAAAGCATTAAATTAAATTGCATAGCGTAGCCCCAACAGTACTCTGATTAATGGAATTGTTCAATGGGACATCAGAAAGGCTTCAGGTGTCTAAGTCTGTGGAGCCTTCCTGGAGATCCCTTCTCAGTAAGCATGACATAGTGGCAAATAGAAAATGAACCCCTTGTAGAGTTTGAAGGCAGAAACAGATGAAACCTCTTTGTACAAGGTCAAATTTTCTTCTATACTTGAAGGAGCTCAGCTAAATTGGGACCTAATCTCAAGGTCTTCATAGAATTTTCTCCTCTGCTTTTAATATTTCTATCTGAGTAATGATCTTGATTGCTGTCTTAAAGACTTTTGGGTCTTAACTCAGTTCATGTCATGAAGCATTGAACTTGTGGGGCTCATATCCCAGCTCTGCCATTCTTGGTTCATCAGTTTGAACCAGTGGAGAAGAGACTGGGCTTTGGAAGGCACAGCCGGAGGACCCCCAGCTGAATCATACAACATGCCCAAGCCTCCATTTGCTTTTTTTTTTAGTGTGTGTGTTTAAGATTTATTTATGCTTACAGAACTGGAGTACAGACCAGAGGTTTGGTGGGTGAGAGGATTCACCAGAGAAAGAGCAGGGAGCAGAACAGTTGATCTACTGAAATACACTGCTGAGGGGAGCAGCGGGTGGGTCAGCAGAGGTCTGCAATGCATGTGGGTCTGGGTCAGCTCCCTGGTTGGGAATTAAACTCGTGCTGCAGTGGCTTTGAAGAGCTTCATAATGCAGTGTTTTGTTTTGTTTTGTTTAAAGATTTATTTATTTATGCATACAAGGTCTGGGGTATAGGCTAGAGGTGGAGGAGGGTGAGCGGATTCACCAGAGACAGAGTAAAGACCAGAACAGGCAGACTACTGAAATCCACTGCTGAGAGGAGTAGTGTGTGAGACAGGAGAGGTCTGTCTGTGCCATGTGGGTCATCTCCCTGGCCAGGGATCAAACTTGTGCTGCAATGGCTGTGGATAGCTTCATATTGCTGTGTTTTAACCTTTTGCAGCACCAGGGAGAGCCCCCATTTGCTTTTATATGAAATGAAAATCAACCTTTTGACCTCATATTGAGTGCTCAGTGGCAAGTTGTTTTAAAAGCACTTAGTAGATGGGCTATGTATGTATGTAGTAAATACTAAAGAATGATAACCTTTTATGGTCATTATCATAATACCTTCCTTGATTAGTCATTTATTGAGAACAAGGAGACTGACATTTAAGCTGGTCCTTGAAGGCTAAGCAGGTTTTGGTCTTGTGAAAGAGGTTAAGGAAAAGAAGCATCATTTTCATTTGGCAGGAGAGATGATGACCACAGGAGTCTTGTAGGCTTTAGAGCAGTGGGAGGAGGAGGATGCACAGTATTTATTTAATTTGAATTTTAGTAACTGGAGTCAAGTATTTTAGTATCGTTCTTATCATTCTCCATTTGCCAATCAGTTGAATCCTGTTAACAGATTCCCTTAACAAGTCCCCTTTCCTTCACAAAACCTGGACTTGTGTGACTCATGTGACCCTCCCTGGATATGTGTACACATAGCATTTTGTAGCTCTCCTGTTAGAGCTTTGGATTTTTCTGTAGATAATAAGCAACCCAAGAGCATCTCCACTGTAACTCCTTGCACTCAGTTTGCATATTAGCTGTATTAAATTTAAAATAGGTTGACATTTCACTGTCAAATTTTGAAATACTTGAGTGTTTTTTGTGTTTTGTGAGTTTTTTTTTTTTTTTGATGTCCATAATGACAGTTTCAAATACAGAGAAGATAAAGTCTTGAATGATACCTGGGCCTTTTCATTCCCACAGTTTTTCAAAAGTCTTATTTAAACAAATTTCAATGGTTTTAAAGAGTTTACTGCCATAATGAATGCACAATTATCGTTTTTAATGGAAAATACTTGTGTGTTCTTCCCTTTAATTTATTGTAAAAACAACAAGGGGAAAGTAAATTTTTTTTCCTTCTCCCTCTTGAGGTTTTTGCTACCCATTTAAGTGAAATTTTTTTCTACCTCTTCCCACAGGCTGCTATTATGTATGGTGATAGTTTTTCCTCAGGACCTTTTTTTTTTTTTTTTCCCCTGGTTTTATTTACATCTGTTTTGATGGATGTGTTTGGAGGAGGCAACCCTGGGATCTTCACTCTATTGTTGTGTTGCTGGACTTTCAGAAATAGTTGACATTTTAAGTTGCAGACTTCTGCCTATTAAGTTTTGTAATGGATTCTTTTTTTTCTTTTTTCAATAATATAATAGTGCATTTTCCCATCTCAGTTGTAAATCCCCGTGGGCTTCCCATCACCAAATCACCCGTGTGCCATCACCATAGTTCAGTGCACTTTCTCCTCCCCCCCCCCACCCTTTTTGATCCCATTCCCCACTTCATCCCCATAAAATGTCTCTGGTATATAGTTGTTCATTATTATTATCTCCCCCCTCCCCCCCTTTATGCTCTTGCTATGAGTGAAACCATACAGTATTTTTCTTTCTCTTTCTGATTTTATTTCACTAAGCATGATCCCTTCCTGCTTCATCCATGTTGCTGCAAAAGTCATGTGTTTATCCTTTTTGGTTGCTGAGTAATATTCCATTGTGCATATATACCACATCTTTTTAATCCAGTCATCAACTTTTGGGCATCTGGGTTGACTCCATGTCATTCCTGGAAAGTAAAATTTTAACTTAAAATAGTTTTTATTTGATAGCTCTATCACAGGGATCACTTGTTTTTAAGTAGCAATTATTAAACAGAATATCTAGCCCCAGTTTATAGAGGTCCTTTTGTAGGGGAAATGACTAAATTCCTAATTTTTTTTCTGCTGCAGGCTGTGGCCACGACTAAGGAGCCTGATGTACGCAGCACATGTGCAAGCCAGGCAGGCAGCCTGGGAGCGACAGATCTGCAGCCCCTGCCGGTCCCGGCAGATGTACATGCAGGTCTGAATCCTGCTGCCCAGTGGCCCCTGACTCCTGGCCCCAAGAACATGACCACAGCCCAGAATGGCCATGGGCCCAGCGCTGCTATCCCCTGTTCAGTCCCTGATCCCAAAGACCCCAGCATGGGCGCTTACCCAGTGTGTCAGAATGGAGGCTGTGGTGGTGGCGAGGCCGAAGCCCAAGAAGCCAGGCTCAACCCGGCCAAGTTCATGCGCCTCTTCTCTGTGAGTCGGAAGAGAAGCAGCGCCAATGCAGAGAGACCCCGCTCCATGGTCTTGATGGGAAACTCCTCCACCTGGAATGCCCTTGCCTCTTTCCGGAAAATGGGATCATTTAAAAAACTTAAGTCCTCGGTCCTGCAAGGAATTCAGAACCGAGAGGGGTCAGATACAGCTAAAGAAGATACCTCAGAACAGGGCACTGGAAAACCCATCCCCAACGGTGCTGCCCTGGGAATCCAGGCAAGCAGGTGCAGCCCCGCAGGACCAGCGTGTCAGCCGCTCAAACCAGGGCCTGGGGGTGTGTCCGACTGCTCCGACCCAGAGGAGGCAGACGATGCCTTCCAGAGGAGCACCCACCGGTCCCGCAGCATCCGGCGTGCCTATGGCCTGGGCCGTATTAGCCTTTTGGATGCCGAAAAGCAGCCCGGCCGGCCCCTGTCCCCTATACTTCAGGAGCCATCCCGGTGCGAGATCCTGGTGAAAGACTCTGAAAACAACAGCATCATTTATAGGCGGAGCAAGAGCACAGACAACTTAAACTTTCTGAAGAAAAGCTCCTTCAAACGAAAGTCCACCTCGAATCTCACAGACCTCAAGGTGGTGCAGGAAAAGCAAGCCCCCCGAAGGACACTGAGCAGTTCGTCTGCAGACTCAGAAAAATTCGGTGGGTCAGAGAGAAGGACGAAACGCTGGAAGAGCCCGATCAGGGCCAAGGACTTTGACAGAGTCCTGAGACTGGTGAGCAGTGCAACGGATGCAGCCTGGAAGAGAGAGGGCGGCAAAGGTGGGGTGCACTCCCCCGGGGAGGCACAGCCACGGCCCGGGCCACACAGCAGGCTGCACGACGACTACTCACGCCGGGTGTCCACCAACAGCGAGCCTGACCGCAGGAGGTGCCCGGGGCCCATGCACAGTGCCCAGGCAGCTGCCAGCTGCAGCTTGGCCGTTTGTCAGGTGCCCCAGGTAGATGTGGACACAGCCGTGTTTCCTCTTGAAAGCACAGACTCTGGGGCATCAGAAAGTGCAGGTCCTAGTGCTGGCAGTCCCTCCTCCGGTCTGATGGCCCAGGAAGTGTCCAGCAAACACTCTGATGACCCAAAACCTGGCAGCCAGTTTACATTTGAAACTGAGCAGCAACCTCTCACTCCTCTAAGGCCCACCACACCCAAGCCCCCCAGCCCACAGAGCCCAGGCGCAGGGACTGCCAAGTGTCCCAACCATCTCAGTGCTCTCTCCCTGAGCTCAGTGGACAGTGAAGAAAGGGCAGAGGCTTCTGCCCCGAGGGATAAAGGTCCTGTGTCCTCCCAGGATTTGGTGCCAACCACATGTGACAATGGCAGTGAGGATAGCAATGCTGGCAGCCGTGCCCAGCTGGTTCTTGGGGGGACAGACGATCCAGAAGAAAAGAGAGAGGAGGTAAGAGCAGAGCAGGGGCCTTTTGTAGGTGACCTGCTGCATGGGGCGTGGGTGCTACCTTTCATTGCTTCTGAGGTTGCTCAGGAGCATGGGTGTTTCTCTTGGCAAAAGCTTTTCCCCGGAGTCAGGTGACCTGTTCTAATTGTGTTGCCATCACAGTTATTCTTATCAAGTTACTCTTGCCAAGTTCCGAAGTCACCTTTATCTCTTTTGGAATGAATTCCTAATGTTTGAAACTGCTTCAAGTGCTATCTACTATACTATTCATTCAAAAAATAATTATGGAGTGCCAACTAAGGCTAGACTGTGGTGGGAGGGAGTTGAAAAGGCCTTTCTTTCATCCCATACAGCAAACATGTGATCCCAAAATTTTATTTTGAAAATGGTTTTTGTTACCTATAACTTTCTGTAACATTTTAAAACTGTTTTCACACCCTTTCTGACAGTGTGCATAGACATACAATTCTTTGTTTTAAATTGTTCCAAGTCCATTTTATTTAGTAGGAATGAATTAGGAACATGTAATTTGATAGTTGCCAACCCCTGAGTGATGAGAGCTGAAAGAAATTTTCATGATGGTTATTGTACTTATTTTTAGTGTAGAACATAAGCATCTCATGGATTGCGTCAACTGTCAAAGCTATTAAAGCAATGTTCTTTTCATACCCTGTCAAGGATTCAGACACCTTTATAATCTTCACTTTATGAATGCATTCAGTAATATTACCTTACAGAAGTGAGAAATGAGGGAATGCATCTATGTGTATATTTTGCAAGTTATTCTTCACATACTTGCCTTGACTATTTTACGGGTATAAATGGATGCTTGTCATAAAAAATAATCCCTTAGCAACTGTTCCTTCCCACTGGTCCCCGGGGAGAACTTTGGTTTTGTCTTAATGCTTGTGCATGCATGTAGCCAGCAACTAATGCAATCATTAGATTGTGTTTCTAGCCTTCGTTTACAGAGAGACTTGGAGTAAAACCTAGCAGAGATCACTTTCAGCAGACCTGAATCTGTCTCAAGGATTCCCAAACAACCAAGAAGTGAGGCTGCTTCACTTTCTGTGAAGGCCTCAGCCAGATTATCTTTAGTGTTCTTGTGCTTTGATGACCTTTTGCTCATGTGTGTATTTCCAAAGGGGCCTTGTAGAACAATTCTAATGACGCAGGACTAGTTGCCAGCTTTGGGAAGGGTTCCATTTGATTAACTGATTGTATGGGTACCAAAGGCCTTCTAGGTTTCATCATTTTTGTTGTTGTTGTTTAAAGATTTATTCATTTATGCATACAGAACTGGGGTACAGGCCAGAGGTGCAGGGACAGTGAGAGGATTCGCCAGAGATAGAGTGGGGAGCAGAACAGGCTGACCGATGAAGTACACTGTTGCGGGGAGCAGCGGGCGGGTCAGGAGAGGTCTGCCACGCCATGTGGTCGCCTCCGGGGCAGGCGGGAATCGAAGTCATGCGGAAGCGGCTTTAGCTTCTTAGGGCTGTGCTTTAACCCGCTGCGCCACTAGGGATGGCCCTGTTTCCATCATTTTAGGTGATAAGATGATGGCATAATTCCTGCCACCAGGCACTTAAACTGCCTTGTTATGCTTTGGAGCAGATTCCTATCCCCATCAAAAAAGACTCGCATACATCCTTAGGGTTCTTTTGTTAAAGGCAAGGATTTTATTTTCTACTTTGTACAATTAATAAGCAAAAAACTTTATTCATATGAATGAACATATGCAAGAATTCCTTTCTAGTCTATTACTTCCCAGAGTGCTCTTGACATTATCTAACTTTATATCTGTATTTGCCATACTTAGTTATGTGTCAATTAATTTCTGCCCACAAGTGATTATATAGCAAATGAATACATTACACAGGTTCATACAAATTGTTAATTCTGAAAATTTGTCTCAAGACCTTCATCCAATTTTCAACTTGTATTCATTTCCTCAAAATGTTTACACAGTATGTCAGGGTTGCTCTTATACTTTTAAACTAGATGTCGAAACGAGAAAACATAATAATTGTTTAGCTGGAATTCTGCATTTTATATGCAGTATTGATTGGGGAGAGATGCTTGTAAAATATAACCTGAAACCTCTTGTTACCGGACATTACTGAATATAAAAAATTGTCTGCTTTTCAATTTCTGATGACAATATTGTTGAATATAAAAAAATCTGGGTACATTATGGTATTATTTAAAATAAATATTAAACAGACTAAGAAAAATGGGCATTAATTTGGCCTTTTGAAACTTTTGAGATTGAGGTAACATTGGTTACTGCAAATGGTTTACTTTTTAGGCTCTAAGTTCCCACTTCTTTAAGATGCATGTTACTACAACATGCTAAGCATTAAAGCAGCTGTAACCCTAAAGCAGCCTTTGGGTCCCCTAATCCCTTTGCTGTGAACTCTTTCTTCTTCCTCCTCCAGTAGTCTTGATTCTACATTCCTATTTCTAGAGCTTGTTTTGGTTTAGTTTTGTCTCTTTGAGGGGGTCAATCTGATAGTAGTGTGTGTGTCCATTAATAGTGAATTGCACTAGAACTTTGGTGGTGGGTCTGGGGTGGTGTACACACATCCAAGCAGGGAAGCTGTATTTCCAAAACTATATAGTATTATAAACTTGTATATCAATAAAAATGTTACTTAAAATGACCAAAAATAAACGTTAGAATGCAATTTCCAGTAAGGAGAATAGTCTTTTATTTAGTCATTTATTTTGTAATATACCACTTGAAAAGTGACAAAACAATGTTTGAAAAACTTAACCATTTAACAAGATTTTATATTCTTTGAAAGGAATTGGGAAATCAAATAAAGCTACCTTCATCTTATATTTTAGAAATAGTGCCTCACTTATGTTATACTTCTGCCACCTACTGGTGGTCTCTAAAATTATTACTTGGCTTTAAAATAGAGTATAGCACTGAGTGTTTGTTGGTAGTGTGCCCTGTGTCTTTATAAGACAGGAAAAGGTACAGACAGCAATTTAGATTGTAGTGTTAGTTTTCCTGCCAAGCCATATGATAAGTTATTTGGCCAAATTGGGTCACTAGGAAGAAGACCCTGCCTGAGTCACACTGAGTGTAGATTTAGTAGTTCATGACAGTGTTGGAATATACCATGGATGACAAGAATATACCATTAAACGATGAATACACCACTCCACTCTAACTCCTTTACAGGAACTTTTCTTTAGTCTTTTTGGAATCTTCGGTCTTTTGGTGAATATTTCTGGTTTGGTGTGGACCCTGGGCCTGCCATTGGTCAAAATGTTGAACTTCTCTTCTCTCCTCAGTTTTCTCAAGGTTAGACTTTGGGATAACTTCATTTGCCTTGAAGTTTTATAAGATTCAGCAAGTTGGGTATGGTGAAACTGTAGCCCTGTGTTTAACACTGGTCTGACTATGCGATGGTCACTATCCATTTGAAAGATTTTTCCATTCTCTGTTTACCTTTTTTAAGACATGGGACAGTTTAATGTTTTCAAACACTGGTTTGGACATGCTACTATGTTAGTCTTAAGGAGGATTGTGGAACTCATCAATTAGCTTTATTAATTTGGGGAAAAAAACAACATTTTTTTTTTCTACTGATGACTTTCCTTCCCTCCAAGTATTCTGCCTAATGTCCACTATAGGTTCTTTTTTTTTTAAAGATTTATTTATTTGTGCATACAGAACTGGGGTACAGGCCAGAGGCTCATGGGCGGTGAGAGGATTCACCAAAGACAGAGAGGGGAGCAGAACAGGCAGATTGATGAAGTACACTGCTGAGGGGAGCAGCAGGCAGGTCAGGAGAGGTCTGCCACGCCATGTGGTCACCTCCGAGGCAGGCGGGAGTCGAACTCATGCGGAAGCGGCTTTAGATTCTCAGTGCTGTGCTTTAACCCGCTACGCCACCAGGGAGGGCCAGGTTTTTAAACAAAAGTTTTTTAACAGGAAAAAATGTATGGGAATTAGGGTCCAGCATAACTTTAGTATTCTCTTTCAATAATGTACCAAACCAAATTTGTTGAACATCTACCAGGTAAGACACGCAGGTACAGCCTTATAAGGAATAGTTGGATGATGTCAAGGAGGTGACAGATGGTGAGTTACAATATTTATAAATCATAGCAGCAGGACTATCCTGAATGGATTACATCGCACAGAAGAGACAAAACCATCTTACTGTGGGATTTCAGAGAAGTTGCAGTTCTCACCCTTATACCAAGGACACCTTGACCAGATCCTATCTGAAGAAGATGAATTCTACAGGTAGTTAGGGAGAAAAAGGTAGGGGCATTTCAGTTTCCCCATGTGCAGAGACTGTGTATAATTTGAGAGAACAAAAAGTAACAAAGTTTGGTTTGGTGCAAGGTTATGATCCAAGGAAAGATAAAATAAGCAAATCTGGACGATCACAGGCCTGACTTCCAGAGTAAAGAATTACACATTATTTGTGTGAATATGTACAAATATGCATATTGATGAGCCAAGGATGGTTTTGAATAGATAAAAGCTAAATTAGAACAGTTTTTAGAGAAATTAATCTATCATTGATAAAGAAGATACATGGAAAGAGGAAACACAAGCAGAACTTTATTACCAAAGAAATCTCAAGAAATAATAAAGGTCTGAAATAGACTGTGTAAGAAAGCAGCAGGAATGAATAACACATAATAAATAGCGATGTACCTTGTCATTCAGTATGTTTTTATTAATCTACCTGCTATAGACCGGTGAAAGGATAAGGTGGCCAAAAAAAAAAAAATTGACACCCGAATTCTCATGGGTTTATAATGTAATTGGTAGTTTGGAATATACACAAATAAGTATGACATAATGTGAGGGAAAAAGTGTTTATAATGCGAACTATACAAAGTACAGTGAGCCTACCAAAGACAAAATGATTAACTCTCAGTGAAGAGTGCTGTCACTCGGGGACGGCAGTTGAATGAGATCCTGAAGATAAGGATGGAGTGTAGAAAGAAATCTTCAGGGCCTCCCAGGC